TTTTTTTTTTTTTGTCTTGGTATATAAAATACTTTTCTTTCTTCTTCGTCTTTTTTTTTTAAATGTTACAAGATATGAGCGCATTCTGAATGCCCAGCAGCTGAAGTGTTATGCCCACCCTTCTCTTCTGTCAATAGCCTTTATCCAAGTATTAGGGTTGGGTGACACATAGGCCTGTCTCTTAATATTATACTCTTCATTGCACAAGCCTTTGGAGACCCAATCTATCTGTGCCTCCTTTGGGCAGGGATGGCCAGGAACCTCCCGGATCCTTCCAGATTTCTTTGCAATCCTGACCGATACGGAGAATTCATTTCTTTCCTAGACTTGGCGCTTAGCCGGCTCTCCTGGCCTCCGTCTTCCCAGTCTCCCTCTGTTTTCTCCTGCAGCCTATTTGCCCCTCCTCTCCTCCATCCCTCTCCTCTCCGCTCGCCTTTATTTTTGCTCCCTAACCCTGTAGCTTTGCTCTCTCTCCTCCCGCTTCCCCTTAGCTTGTCTGTATTTGGAGCTCCCGGAAGCTGCCGGCGAGTCTCTCCAGGAGCAGCGTGACTGACACCGACTCCTATTAAAGGGGGAGAAGGAGGAGGGCTGGAAAAGGGGGAGAGAACGCTGGAGGAGGGTGCCAGTGGCGGAACACGGATTTTCATTGCCGAAGACAAAACCCCAGGTCACCGAAGCAGGTAATCCGGGAGGAGTCTTTGCTCCGCAAGGGTGAAAAGGGACCGGGGGGTGCAGGTGCGCGTGGTGGTGGGGTGTCTCCCTGCAGGCGCTTGGAAGTTGCGTCGAATGGGTGGGGTGGGGAAGGGGCCCCCGACGCGGCGGTGCGCCTGGAATAAAGGCGGCGCGGGGACCGAGGACCCACGGGCGCGGGCGCAAGCGTGCGAGCGCGGTGGCCTGGGGATTCGCGGAGCGCGCGGGTCGAGGGTGGCGGCTGCATCTGGGTCAGCTTGGTGACTGCAGCGCACCCTGCCCCAGTCGCCCCAGGCCGCCCTGGCCGGCTGGAAGGCGGGCGCGGGCGCAGGCGCGTAGGCAGGCTTGGCTCTGAGCTGGCGGCCGCGGGCTTGCCAGCGAGCGCTGTCATGTGCCAGGCAGCAGGAACTTTCGGGGTCCTCGCCTGTTCAGCTCAGAGCCTCAGGGGTGGGGGTAGGGTGTCATTTGCCTGGATCTGACCTTAACAACCTCGACAGAAAGTGCTGGAAAGAAACGGACCCTGCCTGGTTCTCAGCACAGTCTGACGTGAGGCGATGAGTCACTTTTAAAAAATGGAAGGCAACTGAGGCATTGAGGGACGGCTCCAAAATACACCCGCGCCCGCGTGCGCGCGCGCACACACACACACACACACACACACACGCACGGCTGGATCTTGAGGCCTTTGGGAAGAAGGTGGTTCGTGGAAGTAGTCGCGTTATCATCACTGTTAGGGTTGATGATATGTACAGACGGCCTTTTCTTTTTTTTCACCAGAGTGGTGTCCGGCAGATATGCAGCAAGTTTTAGAAATATTTGAATTGGTGCATTCTTTAAAATGAGCAAATATGGATGCCTGCATTTAGAATATTCAACTGGGATTAGATTTGAACTGCCAGAACAGAGATGAGCACCTCGCAAAAAGATCAAGAACTCTTGGTTATTGATTCCTATGAATGCAAACATCTACGGGGGCTTATGCACCATAAAACAAACAAAACAAAACAAAACAAAAAAAACCACTGCCATGGAGTCCATTCCAACTCATAGCAACCCCCACTGGGTTCATTATGGAAGTAGATTGCCTTTGAACTCTTTCATTTCGGTTCAACCCCCTGCTGAGAATTCACATTCCCACCCTAGTTGTAATGAATCATAATCTCCATTTTAACAAGAACACCAGGTGGTTCTTATATATACCTATCACCTGGGAATCTTGTTAATATGTAGATTCTGCATCAGTATACTGGACTGGGAAAGCATACTCTCAGCAGGAAGCCGAACTGGAAAGAACTGGTTCTAAGCCCTGATGTGAAAACCCTTCTGGATGTCAGAACCTTACAAAATTAGCACCTACCTTGTGGTAAAGAGACCAAGGGTATCATAAACTGTTAAACACTTAATTGCTAGGTGGGAGTTTGGAGGTTCCAAAACACCTAGAGGCCTCTTGGAAGATAAGCTTCTGAAAGGGCCTAGCCTTGCAAATCCTATGAAGCAGTTCTACTCAATGTTGGAATACACTTAATGGATTCCAATGACAACCTTGTGCAAGGGTTTGGAGAGGAACCTTTTGAAAGGATTAATCCAGATTCCCTGAGTGCCTACATCATATCTTGAAGTTACATACAGTACCTTCAAGAATGATATGAACTTATTTTGGGCAGTGTATTGTTTTGTCTTGAATATTTCCTAGAAGATTTTTTTATGCTAGGGATTTTCTTTACAATTTAACTCATTAATTTTATGTTATTTTATAAATAAAAAGAATATGCTAAGTCTGTGTAAACTATAGACACTATATTCAAATGAATACCTGTGAACTCGTCATTCAGGTTTAGAAACCAGGGCTTAAGGACTGGATTGTTTCCTATACTGCTGCATCTTTCTCCATGTTCTCCCCATTTGTCATTCCCCATGTTCCTTCCAACTCTGAATTTTGTGTTAATTATTCTCTAGTTTTATTGTGAAAGAGTTTTATGACATATGTATGTATTCCTAAATAATGTATTGTTTAGGTTTGCTTGCTTTTTGTTTTTTAAAAAGATATATAGATAATCTTCTTGTTTTCATTCTTTATTCAATATTAAGTTTTAAAGATTCATTCATACTGTTGCATGTAGCTACATAAGATTTTTTAATATTCCTTAATTTATTTACCCTTTCTATTGTTTATCTACTTTTCATCTCATGTACTTTGTTGTTGTTATGTACCGTCAAGTCGGACCCGACTCATAGTGACCCCTCCTTGGGTTTCCGAGGTAGTATCACTACGGAAGTAGATTGCCCCATCTTCCTTCCGAGGAGTGGCTAGTGGGTTTCAACCGCCAGCCTTTTGGTTAGCAGTCAAGTACCTTAGGCACTAAGCTACTTTGGACATGTTATTTATTAGAAGGAACCTAGAGAGAAGGACATCCTGCTTGCTAAAGTACAAAACAAACAACCAACCAAAATAAAAGCCAAACTCACTGCCATAAAGTCGATTCCAACTAATAGCGATCCTCACTGGGTTTCCAAGGCGGTAAATGTTTACAGAGGTAGATTGCTTCATTTTCCTTCCATAGAGCAGCTGGTGAGTTTAAACCACCAACCTGCTGGTTAACAGTCAAATGCCTTAAGCACTGCGCCAAGAGGGTCAGAGGAAGATCCTCAACAAGGTGGGTTGATACAGTGGCTATAGTAATAGGCTCAAACATAGCAATGATTGTGAGGATGGTGCAGGACAAGGCAGTGTTTTCTTGCACATAGAGTCTCCATGAGTCGGAACTCACTCAGCCACACTTAACAACAACTGTGATGGGTGTCAGGGTTGCTGTGAGAAAGAGTGCTGCTTTGAAGACTTTTGTCTCTGTCTGTTGATGCATATGAAGGAACTCTGGTGGCATATTGCCTAAGGCATTTGACTGCTAACCAGAAGCTTGATGATTCAAACCCACCAGCTACTCAGTGGAAGGAAGACTGGGCAGTCTACTTCCATAAAGATTTACTGCTTCGGAAACCCAAAGGGGTCACTATGAGTCAAAATCGACTCAATGGCAGTGAGTTTCGTTTTTTTGGTTTTTGATTGATGCGTATGTGGAAGAGTTCTTCTAGGTGTGGAACTATCTGGTCATACAGTATGTGAATGTCGGTACCATGTATTTTCATAGCCAAAAAGAAACATAGCTGATTCTCCTTTCTACTTAACTGATTTATTCCCCAAAACCAAGGTAAAGTTACCAGACAGGAGGTTCTGATTTCTCTATCTATATAAGTTCTGGTTGTTATATCTATTTTCTCTTGTCTTAAGAAGTGTGGAAAAACTCTAACCTAAAACTTGACAACTGGATTCTACAACAGCCTCATTTAACTCAACCATTCATGGGCATCTTCGTTCCCCCATTATATCTCCTGGGTTTAGGATGGGATAGAGGACAACTTTAACTCTTAAGTCAGAGGGACATTACTTTAAGCAAGATACGTAAGTGGTTACTAAACTATACTATAAAGAGCCCAGGTGGTGCTATGGTTTAGCACTCAGCTACGAACCAAAAGCTTGGCAGTTCAGAATCTACCTAGCTGCTCCATGAAAGAAAGATCTGATGATCTGTTTCTGTAAATATTACAGCCTAGAAAACCCTGTGGGGCAGTTCTAGTCTGTTACATAGGGTGGTTACAAATCAGAATCTAATCAGTAGCACCTAGCAACAACAACAAAAAATTATACTATAATTTTCCTTGTATTGTACATCCAGTATTTCTAATGTAATTTAGTTTGGTTACTCTGCACAATAAGATGATTGGAATTCTGGTGTTTTAGCCTTGGGCAGTTTTTAGGTCTATACCCATTTCAGTCTGCAAGGTTTGGAAGTTCTTTTAGGATATTTCTACCTCTAATTAGGAAAGGTACAAGCACTCTAAGGTCAAAATAGGCCATGATAAGGAACTTTTTAAAATGAGTTTATGTATCTAGTGACCAGTCTCTGGAGGAGGATATCATGCTTGGTAAAGTAGTATGTCAGTGGAAAAGGGGAAGACCCTCAACGAGATGGATTGACACAGTGGCTGCAATGATGGGCTCAAGTGTGGCGATGATTGCTATGATGGTGCAGGACTGGGCACTGTTTCATTCTGTTTATGTTGGGTTGCTATGAGTCAAAACCTACTTGGCACCTAACAACAGTAACAATATGTATCTAGGGTAATACCATTTCATTTTGTTTCTCTGGTTGGTAGACCTTTTAAGTGCTACGCTGCTAATTGAAAGGCCTGCAGGTTGAAGCTACCAGCTACTCTGTGGGAGAAAGGTGTGACGTCTGCTTCTGGAAAGATTTACAAGCTTGGAAAGTACATGGGGCAGTTCTACTCTCACCTACTGGGTGGCTATGAATGTGAATTGAGTCGTGGGCAGTGTGTTTTCCCATTTAGGGAAACATAGTTACTTTTATTGAGAAATTATGTATCAGGATTACTTCCTCTCAATATACAGCCCTAGGGTAGGAGGGAAGATAGGAAGGTGTCTAAAACCAGAAGACATTTTTATTATTATGGATGGAGTCTTTATCTGCCTGTCTAGTTAATTAACTCACTGCCGTTGAGTCGATTCCGACTCATAGCGACCCCTTCTTGGGTTTCTGAGGCAGTATCTCTACAGAAGTAGATTGTCCCATTTTCCTTCCGAGGAGTGGCTGGTGAGTTTGAACCGCTAGCCTTCTGGTTAGCAGTCAAGTGCCTTAGGCACTATGCTACCAGAACTCCTGTCTAGTTAATTAGACATCTAATAATCCTGGCTTCTCATTGAGCACTTAGCCAAATGGAGAGCCAAATGCAATAATCCCAAACTCTGAAAATGTCAAACCTGTCTGAAGAATGGATGAATTAGAAAAATTTTTAGGTTCCTTTTAGCCCCACCTCCTCAGAATGCAATATGAAAGTCTGATCTAAAATCTTTCTTGTTTTGATAGGAAAGAGATGTTAAAGAGCAGGGTGGTTCTGGGAGACTGAAAATAGGAGT